GCAACATTAGTATTACTAAGATAATTTGGTTGAACTAACTAGGCAACATTATGTTTCGTTTTTTGCTAATCGTAACTAATATGGGTAAAGAATTGAATGCATCAATCACCGTGAGTTCTGAATCACCTGAGTAAAATTGGCCAATTAGAATCTTATATGACTGCCGTGGTTTAAATTTCCAACATAAAAGTTTGATTAGAGTGCCACTGTGGTATAAATTGTAAGAATCTTACCGCGACATTTTTATCCATATTGCAGTTTTGTTATAAGTAAATAAAAGTACAATAGAAAACTGCGGTCTGGTAAGTGAGATCCATATTGCAGTTTTGTTATAAGTAAATAATAAGTATAAAAAGATATTCCACTACTTCTGGGAAGTAAGACTGGCCGAGGAACCGCGGCTAGTAGACGGGTTGACCAGTTGATATGGTTCACATGATTATAGTTTTGTTATGATATAAGCTGCGACTTCAGGGAAGTCAGACCGGCTGCTTGCTTGATGATTGTTGGAGGCTCGTTCTCAGGGAGAGCGGGCTGGACGATTGATGACTTGTTAAAAGCTCGAAGCTCGCCCTCAAGGAAAGCGGGCTGTGCGATTAATGGCTTGTTAGAGGCTCGCGCTCAGGGAGGGCGGGTTGGAAGATTTTGATGATTTGCTAAGGCTCACTCTCAGGGAGGCCGATTCACCCTGAGCTGAGGTAGGAATTATGAACTGCCACTTCTGGGAAGTCAGACCGGCTGAGGACATGCGGCCGGTAGACAGATTGATGATTTGACGAAGGCTCGCCCTCAAGGAGGGCGTGCTGGTATTATAGGCATAACTAAAATATAATATGTACTGAACAAAAAATGAAGTTAGTTAGTATTTCATTTGACATGTTTTCAGTGTATATTGTATAAATTCTGTATAAAATAAAGGAACTCACTTCGACCGTGTGTTTAGACGATTGGGCCCTAAGGTGCCATAGTTTTCTAGATGCGAGCGACCCGACACTTGATGACCGGCTTTCGACGACTAGATGAGCCCTAACCTTTTAAGGCTAAAAAATGCTGACTCGGGAATTATGCTGGGTAAGAAATTCTGCCATGATCATAGACCTGTAGGTTTTACACTTCAATTATAATCTCTTATTTCATAAGGTGAAATCATATTGGTTCATTTACATATCATTAACATATTATTAGTGATTCCTTTATTATCTCATTTCATTTGTATCGTGGTTTGCGTTGTAATCTGCGATGTGATGGGATGGGTTTCTATAGGTTTCATCTAAACACAAGCGCTAGATTCGCGGCAGTGGAAATTCAGCATAAACGAATCAAATCATAACGTATCTTGTCGTTGTTGGAGTTAAATATGATGATTCGACGTAAAGCAATGAATTAACAAAGAAGATACCTATATACATAACACCTTTATGATTATCATCAGTTTTCCCCAATCCCTTGCCGGTAACGGAAGGATGAATTGTCATCTCGATATGTAGAATCGATTAGGAAATGAAACGTCGCGACACATAGCTCATGTGTCAATTCTATGGTTAGTAGTTAAAAGCTATTTAAACTGGCGAGTATGTATGAAATGTTGGACAAAAACATCGAAGACCATGGACATCACTATTTATCGATTGTATTATAGGAATCCCTATGTATCCCTAAGACTTTGACATTGACATGACATTGACATAGGATGAGACGCGACAATATACAATATGCCGCTCGAGTGAAATATTGAGATATACTTTATAAAATTGTGTTTTTAATAGAAAATAGTAATGAAAGTGGATGAGGCGAAAGAAGCATGTAAAGTAGGCTCGTATATCGTGGCGTTTGGTACTCTCTGCCTACCCCGCCAGGGATACGGCGTGAAGATAGGTATAGCTAGAAAAATTGATTATGTAGTGCTTCACTATGACTGACTGTGTATTATGACTAGGTCGAGTAGATTATTGAAGAATATTAAATATGTATTTTTTAATTTTTGCGTAATCAATAAATTACGGCGATACATTGAGTTGAAATGTCACATAAATTTGTACATTTTCTACAAAGGTGTGGCGTAGAGAGACCCAACTCCTCAACTTTAATGCCTAATATCTAAACCATTTCTTGTTTAAATTGAAGCAAAAACATACTTATCTAATATTATACGATTTTTACCTACGTACGCCAATAAAAAGTTTGTGCTTTATATTACTAAAATTATAGCATTAATTTGATCATTGTGGCGATTCCATTCTTTTTGCCAAATACATATAGGTATTACATTTTTAAAACTTACTTTCAGGAAAATCAGAGAATATAGTGATACGTATTGTAGATGAAGGTTATAAAAATGGTAGCATATTTGAAACCCCTGGGAAACATAGATAGTCGTCCTAAGAAATAAATTGTTAACTGCAACATTTGTGCACTTCGACAAAAGATTCAGTTCTTTTACTCTGTGAAAAAAAGAGGTACCTACATGAAGAAAACATCAGTGGATTGCCAAAACTGATCTGGATTTTAATTGTAGCCTAGAAGTTCTGCGTTAAATTCTGAAATATATTGGGTTTTCTTACAAGGAGTGTCAAAGTAACAGGCTTTAATCGAACACAAGCACATTGCAGTAAAACGAGAAAACAACTTGGCAATTATAAAAAAAAAAGATTTATCAAAAATTACGATTACTATATTGTAATCTTCAATGTAGAATAAACTCATTGTCTACGAATTATACGCCTTTCTTTACCTTTTCCGGGGTAATAAAAGTAAAAAAAAAAATCCTTCTATCAAAATCATTTGTCTCACTACACAGGGTTGCTACGTGCACGATCGCAGCGCCCTCAATTTTTTTCATGACTTTATAGACAGACTGCCATTTTGCTTAAATATTATGTATATGTCACGAACTCACGAATGTAATTTAGTGAATCGGCGCAAAAAAGATTTTATGCGATAGAATAGAAATCGGCATTTTTCTGTGGGCAAACACTTTGTAGTAGCCGCTACCCCCTCCCGACACGCTACACATTTTTACGTCCTGTGTTGTTATGTTATGTTTCACGGCGGGCTTTTCTGCAACTCGATACTCAGTGCCTATTTTGCATGACACGGGGTTGCTTTAGTCCTGCCACCCCAGCTCCTCCAGGAAGCCCGTAAGATCTCGAACTCTGCCGCATGCTTCCACTAGTATCGTTGGGCTTCATAGATATATAGTCCTTTTGTCTTAATAGGCTCCTGCATTCCAGTATCACATGAGTGCACAAGCGCTTATATGATACTGGAATGGAGACTGAGGAGACAATCTCCTCAGTCTCCATGCACGCCCTGCTCAGAGGACTGCCAGAATAACCCATGTTATATAGGTGTTTGTTAAAGTTTCCATGTCCAGTAAGTATACCTACTATTTGCCTTAGAGTCTTGTTGCTTCAATCCATTTATTTTTAATATTAGGATCATACGGAAAACTAAAACAAAAATTACAGTATAATTCAATATAAAATTAATTATCCTTTCTTCTGCTTTCAAAAACGATATATTTTTAATCGGGTAAAAAAATCGCATTGTACAGCACTATTCTCCATTTTTGACAGAAAAAAATGATAATTTGTCCTCCAACAAATTGACCTTGAATTATACATCGATGGTTTTACAAGCACAGCAAATTTGGACTGTCAAATTAAAGCCGCAATGGAAAGCTATTACTGGACACATGACCGTTTTGATAAAAATTATACGGAACAACAAAACTAATGATTTTTAATTCAAAATAGATATATCAAGGCAAATAGTTACTTACCGATGGAAGGAAATACCTCGACTATAAGATCCAACCATATTGGTGGTGTTTGAGCAGGTAATTATCGAACAACGCATCATTTTAAATTTCGTCCAACACCGATTGCGATCGAAAGTGGACTGAGCCTCGCGGCGAGCAATGAAGCTGTCCAGACGTCGTTTCGGCACGCGAAGTACGTACACTTTTTCCTTCTAACTAGATATATTTCTGTGATTCAACCTAACGATTCCTAGACACGTTAATTATTCATTTTACCGGCCCTTCTTATAAATACAGTCAGATAGTCAACTTACCAATAAGTTAATTATCACCCTATATACCCATAAATAAATACCCAAAATACAGTAAAGTGGTGATCCCATACAATATTCAGTAAATAATCCATTATGAAGTCGATAACTATAGAGACCTTGTCAATAAGCAGGTGTATCCGAACCGCTCACGCAAGAACGTATCAAGCAACTGTTAACACACTGTTTGCCGCTTACATCAAACACCCGAACATTCTTATTGCCATGGAATATTTGTGAATCCAGACAGAATAACGAAAGAAGACATTTAAACTTGAACAATTATTTTTATCGAAAATAGAACAGATTCTCATGACATATATTGACAATATACATGAGTACACGATCTCGTTGCCTTTAATATAAATGTCAATCTAGGCTGTGTGAACTTTAGTCTTTGCCTTCTTAAAATAGAATTTAAAAAAAGTACGACAAGACTATAAACCGAAAAAAGGCTTTTATTTACTGGTTCGTTATCAATATTTGTCATATGTTATTTAAGTATTATACCTTTATTGTTGTCATTAATATTACTTTTTCAGTTACATAAACCAATATGGGCAACTGGAAACTAGAAGTCGGAAGAATGGCAATGTATATGTCCTTTCCAGTTTTACTTTTCCATTTTTTCAATCAACCGACATATTTTGAGGAGTGGGTAACAAAAACAAAACGGGAGATCTTTCCTCCAGAAAATGTCAAAGATAGGGAGGATATTCAAAATCTCATACGGGAAATGAGGAAGAAACAAATGCAAACTCTTGAAGGAGAATGATATAGCGAAATTTATGCATAATATTGAGATTAAATTTAGATAAATTAAAGGTATATTAAATATATTTCTCTAAATACAGATACTTCAATTGAATAACCAGCTTTAATTTTAAAATGTTGTCACTTTCTTTATTAAATAATTAGTCTACAAGTTCTGTTGTCTCATCGCATCTTATTTATTGTTTTGAGGTTAACAATAAATCTCTGAATATGTCGTTATTTAAAAATATCATGTATAGAATTATTTATAATTTATAGAATGAAAGAAGGAAACAATAGTCTTTAACAGTAGTAAGATGATCATTAAAAACAAAGTAAACTCCACCTATTGAAAATCATAACAAAATAAAATTAAAAAATAAAGAATGGGTATAGGAATAGGCATTATTCAATTTTTATTATTTTTCTTTTCCATCTATAGGTGTATGCCATTCCAAAACCAAGTAACGTTGAACAAAGTGATGCATAAATAACATACTCAACACCAAAGTATTGGCCTATAAATCCAGCTACTATAGGTGCCACTACTCCAGACAGAGATCTAATACTATTTGAAGCTCCTATTAATGTACCTCTATGATCACCGTGACTTCGTTTTAATATCATTTCTAGTGTGACTAATCTACCTACTGCATTACCAATAGCAAGAGGTATCAACCATAGCACATAAATATAAACATGAAAAGACAATATCAACCCTAATAATGAAAGGCTCAATAATACAAAGACATGGAAGTTTCTTAAACTGTAATCAGTGTCTTGATGATAAAAACTGTTAATGAAACCCATAAAAAAACTTGATACAGATCCTACAACTCCTTGGAATGATATAACATAACCTACATATTTTGGTGTTAATTCATACTGAGTCTTCAAATATAAGGCATAATTTGAATAGTAAACTCCCATAGCAAACCCTATCAAAGCTTTAAAAATAAAAATATCCCAAAATTCAGACCACTTCACTCTGTACAATCCAATAAAAGTTTCTTTTACACTACTGAAAACAGATTGAGCTATACTAGTTGGTGTTTTCGTATGTTTAAATTTCTTTTTCAGGTGTTTCTTCGATATTGGTAGAAAAAAGGCCAAGCCTGCAAAAAAAATAAAGAAATTTAAAGGCAATTTGCTTTTAATTCTTGAAATGTAGATAAATAAATCACAATCTCCAGTTAAACTTACCTGCATTAACTAAAAAACAAATTCCAACAATAATTGCTATAAATGCAAAACCATTATCAGGATAACCTTCAGCTATATGACCACCTATAGCTGGTCCTAATGTAATGCCAGCACCAGATACAGCAGCCATTCTTCCATATATAGCAGATTGCTCCTTTTCACCCTTCTCATAATCTGGCACCAAAGCTTTTGTCAGTAGTTGAGTTTGTTTAAAAAGACCTATAATAAAGAAAATAACATATCATAAAGTTCCTAGTTTAATAAAACAACCTAGTCAATATGCACTATAGAAATAATATTATACTAAAGACTTACCTAGGAGAGCCCTTAAAATTAAAATAACAGTAAAAGATTCTGTCACTCCTAATGAAGTATATGCTGCTGCACATATTAACAAAGTAAATGTTAATATTACTCTTCTGCCTTTAATATCACTAAGGCTTCCCTAAAAATACAGGATTTGCTAAACAATAATAATAATAAAAAAACTATTTTTTTAATCGAAACAAAAAGTGTATGTATCCATAATGTTAATAATAAAAATATAATCCATTGAACTTCTACTTACTATAAGCGGGCCAGATGCTAGCTGAAACCCTGCATAAATGGATCCAAGTAAACCTACATAAATATGACCGGCGCCCATTTTTCGTACATGACCAGGAACTAACGGCACTATCAAACCGACTGCCAGAAGATCCTATTAAATAATGTAATAAGTTGTAGGATATGAAGTCAATAATAAAGATTATTTGTATAAAATTAGAGACGTACCAAGAACGCTATTGCTTGGAGCAAACATAATGATAGTTTCATAATTTTATTCTTAAGATGGCTAGGCAAACTGAGAAAAATGCAACCTTAGCAATATTGCTTATATTATGATCTTTATAATGCATGTGTTAACATAATATGCTAAAATTGCATTCCATTATCACAACTTGGTACAACTGGCAGGTAAACATAGTCACTATTGAATTTAATCAGAGGAAAATTTATTCACTTTTGATTCTCTGACTCTTTTTAGTCTGTGATCATTGTTAATGGGCGGCACAGATTAACAATATGGTGGGCAGTAGGGTAATAAAATCTTTTTTAAGTCAAGCCCTATTAAGGGATGGTCGATATTCATCGATGTTGCATAAACATCGAAATATCCTTAGGGTCATCTTACATGCTCTAGATCAACTAATTTCAAGTTCAACTATCTTCCACTAGATGTCTCCGGTTGCACTCGTAACTGGAGTAACCAAACAAATAGTTTTTCTTTGCTTGCATTTTCCAAGGAAGTTAAAAATAAATCTGTCAACTTCAGAACTCTTTGGTACCCTATAATTAACCGATAACGTACTTCAATGACAGTTATGATTTTATAGTTTATTTTGAGAACAAAAATACATAAGTTACCCGTAAGATGATCACGATACAAACTGCTTGCTGATTTTGTTTTACATTGAAGGTGTAATGGTTCAAAAAGATTCTGTTTTTCGGTGTCGGGAAGCTTCGCATGTGGGAGTGATGACTTATGCTAAACTAACTAAAGTTCGTCTCACGAAAGAAGTCCCTCGGATCACAATGTTTTCGCTTTTATTACAAAGGAATAAGAGTTATGCCTTGGGACTTTTCGTGAAACATATTCTAACTTAACTCTTTTTTTATTTCATATTTCAAAATAGGGATGATCGATGAACATCGATTTTTGATAATCAACTATATGGACATCAAATCAAATCAATCTTTATTGTTGATCACAGGTTATGTAAAGATATTGGATGCAAGGACTGAATAGTTACACCGTGATCTGCCTAAAAGGCATACAAAATTAGTAGGTTAGTAATTGTCAACTAATCTTATCAATAACATGTTATGTCAAAAATTCAATTAACTCATTAAGTAATTATACATTTACAAAGTACTGTCAGCTAGATACTCGTTTACACTATAATATGCTTTAGCTACTAATAATTTACAAAGTTTTCTTTTGAAAACATTACAATTATCCAGATTACGTATTGTTTTTGGAATTTTATTAAAACTTTTTTTGGCCCCACACAAAAGATACTTTTGTTCAACAGAGCTGTCTTAGAGGGTATTGTACACAATTTGTCTCGATGACGCAATCTCGTCTTATTTTCAAATAGTTGTTGATTCTGTTTGACAAAAATACCAACTTCGAATATATAGATTGATGGCAGGGTCATAATATTTAGTTGAATAAAATATGGCCTACAGGTATCCGTATTCTGTAAATGACATGTGCTCCTAACACATTTTTCTGGGCTCTAAAAACAGTTACAGAATCAGTCGAATATCCCCAAAATATAATGCCGTATCGAACAGTAGAAACTACATACGCGTGATAAGCTGTAAGGACCGTGCACTGATTCGCGATCCTACTAAGTTTGTACAGTGCACAAGAATACTGGGACAACTTTTTGCAAACATGTTCAGTGTGTGTTTTCCATGTCATCCTTTTATCAATATACAAACCCAAAAATTTTGTGACACCTGATTCTTTTATTTGTGTACCAGCATAGTTAATGTTTAAGTCAAAGAGTTAGTTAGTTCTTTGTCGGAAATTCATAAATTGAGTTTTTTCTAGATTTATTTTAAGATCGTTATGATTTAACCACTGAATAAAAAAATAAATGTTTTAATATCGAAGTTGCTTTACGAAAAATAACGTAATTTCGATGTTAACAAAATCAATCATCAGTGTTAACTCACGGCCTCACGCAAGACCAATGCAATATTTAATATTTGATAATACTAATTTAAATTAATCGATATTACCAAAAACATCGAAATATTGATAAAATGTATGTATGTAATACATACATCTTGAAATACATATTTTACATACATGTTCACAAAAGCTACCCTTTGTCAATAAAGAAATAGATTAAAAGATTGTACCTTATCAAAATTAGTTTTTCTTCAATCAGTTGATATAAAATATTGGAATATATAATAATTTGTTGTTTCTTAATAAATTTCGAAAGATTTCACTGTATTTTAATTTCTTTGTAAATTATTGCAAAAAACATCGATGTTTTTCAACATCAATGTTCAGTTTTAGATAAATATCGAACATCGATATTGGGCTTACGATGATGACATCGATGTTTTTCCAATATCGATCATCCCTATCATGTTTGTGGTCTTTATTATAGACCTCAATCGTGACATTAAAATAAAGACTCTTTACACGAAAAGAAACAATATCAACAATGATAATGATGAAGTTTAAAAAAAAAATTAGTTCCTGAAATCAAACTATATGTCACTACGTACGGTACGATCTTGATTTCTCCATAACAACCATTCCGGTTTTCTTTCTAGTTTAAAAGTAAATTAGTTTTCAAAACTCAATAAACAACTCATATACTATTTTTACTTTTTTATATTTGTATTGACATCTAAGTTTCGAACTTTTCAAATTTCAATTATTTAATATGTTGGTTAAAAGGAACGGAAGTCTTTGGTACATTCGTTACCTGCAAAAATCAACTTTTGCCAGTGTCGCCATCTAGTGGAGATGCTTTTTAGAGCTTTCTTTTTTTAAAATACTTCCTCATCTTGAATTTTAGGGTTATACTCGTAGATAAAGCAATTAAAAAAAGCTCTGAGCGTGTCTATCTGATTACATTGTTAAAGATAATACCAATAGAATGTATATAGAAAAAGAAAGATATTCATAAATCAAGACTATTATTGATTGCTAGGAATTTAGATATAATTTTGAATGTGCTGCGTTTCTCCATGCTCAAGATACATTTTATATTAATCGGATGAGGAACTTTTGACAGGAGCAAATCATAAAGGGAAATGGAGAAATTTGGACAATTAAATAGAATATGATCCGTAGTTCCTTCCTCAATGCCAAAATCACAGAGGGGGTTGTCTTTGATTTTAAATTTGGCAAGTCAAACTGGGGAACACACATGTCCAATTCTCAGACGACAAATAATTGAAATAGTTTTTTTATTTAAAGAACTAGGGTGTACTGGGGATACTTCTCTGAATGTCAAAATAATTATATTCTGCTCTTTTTCTAGTATTTTCCCAATCAATATTCCATGACCTCATCAAATGTTCATGTGCTAGCACAAAAAGATCGTGATGAAAAAGTTTAGAATATTTTAAAGAGCCTGTGTAGCAACTTGTTTAGCAGATGCATCAGCTGTCTCGTTCCGAGAAATACCAGTGTCCCGGTATCCTTGCAAGGGTAATGAGTAGCTTCTTAAGATGGCATCTGTACAATGCTTACTTTGTTTTTAATATTATGGGAAATTTATTTTTAGAACAAAACGGATTTGATATTATAGATTGCAAGCAACTCTGTGCATCTGCGGAAATAATGGTTTTGTTAAAGTTATGACATTTGGCAAACACGATGGCTTCAAGGAGAGCTAAAGCTTCTCCTGTAAATACAGAAGTGAGAACATGCTGTTTGGATACATCAGTGTACATGGTAATCCAGCATTCATATTCCAACGCCAATTTCCGTGCCATTGTACACATGCCATATGGAGAGTCTTTGTCCATTCCAAAATCAAGAAGAACGACAGGCTCAAGAATAAGCGATTCAAAGCTATTTTCAAAAAGAGGAAGATTGAAAAACCATTCAATCAAATCAAATCAAAATTATTTATTCAGTCTAGGCTCTTACAAGAACTTGTGAAAGTCGAGAGCTACGCCATCGGTTCGTAAATCTACGTAGGGAGACCTTGTACCGACAAGAACCGGCAAGAAACTCGGCAAGGGCTGTTTTTTTCTCCCTGTTTTATTTCATATAGAGCGTAAATTGAAAAATGACTTCATTAAAATTTGTAGTCACTTTCCATTACAATATTACTCAATATAAGAGTAAAACAGTATTTTCGTCAATCCAATAACATGTGTAGCCAAAGAAGCTCACCGATAAACAATTTAATATATATGAAAAATGAGCCATATTTAACACTAAGCAGTTTTGTCGTTTAAATATTCATTAACAGTATAATATCCTTTACTGAGTAGACAATTCTTAATATGGGTTTTAAAATTAGGTAATGGTAAATTTAAAATTTCCATAGAAATTTTGTTATAGTAGTGTACACCTTGACCCATAAATGACGATAGAACCTTCTTTAGCCTGCATGACGACAAAATAAGTTTATTTTCTAACATAAAGTATACAATTGTATATGAATTGGGAGGCCACTGTTAATATCCCAATTTCTTTGAATTTATCTCTAAGTGCTGTTCTTGAACCCAATTGATAAATGGCCCTTACTCCTGTTTTTTGTAAAATAAATATAGACTCTATATCTGCAGCCATACCCCACAGCAGAATGCCATATGACATAACGCTATGGAAATAACTAAAGTATACTGTCCTAGCGGTATCTACATCTGAAAGTTGCCTAATTTTTTTTATTGCAAAGGCAGCTGAACTTAGTTTTCCTGCCAATAGTGAAATGTGAGGATGCCATTGCAATTTAGAATCCAGCGTTACACCTAAGAAGATTGTTGAGTCTACCAACTCGAGCTTTTTATCATTAAGTTTAATTACTGTAAGTTCAGCTTTTACATTAGGTAACATAAACTTTATACATTTCGTTTTTTTTAACATTTAACTGAAGATTGTTTACAGTAAACCAGGTCATAATCTGTGAGAGAGCATTGTTTATATCGTCAAAATTATTTTGACATCTATCAATATTAAATATTAAAAAAAGTATCATCTGCAAACAATACTATATCGCATAAAGTTTCGGCAAAAAATTGCAAATCATTTATGTAAGTTAGAAACAGAAAGGGACCCAGAATAGATCCCTAGGGAACTCCCATTTTTACTTGTGATCCAGATGATCTCACACCGTTAATATCGATAGTTTGAGTTCTGCAACTGAGATACGACAATATTAGTTGTAGGGCGGAGTCTTTGATACAAAAGTAAGTTAGCTTCGTTACTAGTGTTCGATGCTCAACGCAATAAAATGCCTTGGATAAGTCATAAATATATTAGCAATTTTATCATGAGATTTGATG